TCTTTTTTCTTTCCTTTGGTGGACAAAGGGGCCCAGGATGGCAAAGGGGCCCACGAGAGGGATAATACAGCCTTAGTTCTCCGGTCAGTTAGCATCACCTTCTCACCACGAAGTTGGAAGTTTCTGGGCTCGCCAGGGGGCTGCTGTACTGTTGTTCCTTTTTATTTATGCTTGAAAGAACAGCTCAGAGAACTGTGTATTCTGCCTTGTCCTACCTCCCTTTAAGACTCTAGGACAAAAATAGCCCCAAGGCATTTTAGACTGGCTGAACTGCAGATAAGTTTAAATTTAAGAGGCTCTCAACTTCAAACATGGGAGATAAGATGAAAAAAAAAAAATCCAGACAGTCTACTTTAGTTCCATCCCAATCAAACTTTTATTTCAAAGAACTATTTAAAGGACCTGACATATGTGAAACACAAAACTCTTTTTTTAAACCTTCAGGGATATGACAAAGAGCCTGAAATGAGACCTTCTACTTCCCACAGCCTTAGATACCCTGTGAGCGCCAAGGTATGGGCCGTGCGGGGAGGACAGCTCTGCTCTGCGTGCTCGAAGGCCATCTGCGATCCAAATTGTGTGTTTCCTGGACTCCCTGCAAGTTGCAAGCATTTGCCTAGCAAATCAGGTTAAAATGAACAAAGGCAGCCTTGAAGGGGGATGTCTCAGAGGACACTGGGGGCCAAGGGGTGTGTGGAATGTGTGGTGGGTAAGGATGGGTGGAGCAGGTTGGGAGGCAGAAAGCCGTTGCTAGGTAACAGCAGCCCTGGTGCCTTTGTAAATGTGGATATATTTTGTTTGAAGCAGCAGCTGGCAGCCACCACCTTCTTTTCTCTCCCTCCTCCTATTTATGCCCAGACCTGAGCCATAGCTCTCAGAGAGGTCCTGGGAAGTTGGAGCAGGGGAACTGCTTGGGGCAATAGAAGAAATGTGTGCATGAAAAGGCAAATGACTTTACAGCAGAGCAGAGACCTGGATGTTTACACTTCCTAAGCAAGATCTTAGGCGAGTTAATTTAATCTGTCATTCAGGTTCCTCAGTTATAAAACTGGGGACATCAGTCTCTGGCAGGAATGCGGTGGGATTAGAGAAAGTGCATGCAGAGGACCCAGTCCAGTACCTGGCCCATAGTAGATGCTCAGTAATTGGTAGCAGGTGTGAGAGCATGGGCTCAGGCATCA